TTTAATTTTCAATTACTTTTTTAACTCTAACTTTAAAAACTGTACTTTTTAAAAAATCTTATACTTGTCAGTCTGACCAATAAAGAAGGGATTGAAAATAAGGGAGCCAAAGAATCATATGAAAATGTTGGAAAATGGGTCCCAAATTCTGTGGCAGAAATAATACTTTTGGTTGACGGGCTGCATGTTGCCTACTGCCGACAAAAACGGAAAGAAAACCGTGAAATGGTAAATTTCATAAGTCAAGAGTCAAGGCTCCTCCATTTTAATAAATTAATATTAAAAAGAATTTTTCATGTTTCATATTTAAATTAAATTAATTTCACTCCATGTCTTGTATTTGCTTTAGAGTCCCGATTAATCTTCATTCGAGTCGTGTAAGATTCATTAAAGGAAAAAATATTCTCCATTAAATTATTCTTTTATCATTTCTAAAACTCGAACCGGTCAGATTAAGAGTCGAGAGATCATATTCATCACATCATAATTTTTTGTGCTATGTTAATTTTTTATTATTTTAAATAGCCATAAATAATATGAGAATATATATTATTAATCGAGTATTATTAAATGACAAAACATATGTAAGAGACATAAAAATCTTATATCTATTGGTTAATTCAAATGCAACATAATAGATTAGTTTTTTTCTCCAATTTCTATTTTGAGAGCTCTTTTCTATTGCTAATATTTCCCCATATCTTACGTGGCTCTCTTTGCCTTCCTTATTCACATTCTTTTTTTAAAATTATTTAATATTGATACTCGTAGTTATAGACAGAGCCAGAATTTGAAGGTTATGGATTCGGTTACAGAATTTGGACCAAAGGTCCTGGGTTTCGGCCGAAATCATAGCTGATGGGCTAGCTCCGCCCCTGCTCGTAGTATTTAGGTCAGTCTACACATTTCGATTCTCGACTATTCATAGTCTTTTTAATTTTTTTCCTAATTGTTTAAATTAACTGGCTCCAACTTTACATCAATCTACCAGTTTTGCTTTGGTTTTGGCTTTGGTACATTTCTTGAGTTTTGACTAATGTTGGTTCCTCGAACATGATTTGTCTTTTGATTTTTTTTCCCTTCTATTTTCATATTTCCTGAATAAAATAATTAATCACACACAAAACAAAAGTTAGTAATGCGCAGCTGGCACTTCCACCTGGCAATTTCCAACTGGACCGAAACATCATCTTACTGACACGTGGCATAATTGGATCCACGCTGTTTTTGTGTGATTTGGACATCCCTGAAATGTCCTTTTTCTTTCTCCTATCCGTTGTCCGTTACTTGTATTGGAGCCCGACTATATTCGTATTTGTGCCGTGTAGGGTTCCATTCGGGGGGAAGCGCTCCCTACCAAGAATTTTTCCATACTCAGGGCTCGAACCTCTGGTTAAGGGAAGAACAGCTCCATGCGTTGCACCACATACTTTGCAGTTCGCTTTGCCATGAATTTTGAAATTTTTGCAAATTAATTATTTTTTATGATTAACAAGTAAAAATTCCTTTTTTGTAATGTATGTGGTCCAAATAAACCTGCACGAGGTATGTCTTTTTTTTCCACAATCTAATCCAACTCAATTTATTGAAGAAGTATGCAATTTTAAACGCGTCACAGTTGTTCAAGTAATATATACTATGATATAATTTCCCCTTTTTACACTTGTTTGAACTTTTATTTGACTTATATATTATCAGTGGCTAATCGAGGATAACTTAACTGAAATTGGTAAGTTGACTTTTAAAGCTACCTAAATGAGCCACTGATTAATTTAAATTCACGCCGTGTAAAACCCATTAAAAGAATATGTGCTCCATATATACTAGGATTTTTCCATTCTTAAACTTGAGCAAGGTTTTTTTTCCTGAAATCCCTATTAACTAAGGTAAACAATGTAGAAAAAATACATATTCTTGCACCGGTTCCGAAAGAGCTAAGAAAAAGGAGATATTTCGTGCTCGTGCCCGGATAGAGAAAAGGCATGACTCCCCCTCTCCCCATTCTCCGTTCAGGCAAGCCGGCCGTCCTAAGTTCAGGGGTTTGGTCAGATAGGACCAGATCAAATCGAAAAAAGTCTTATTCATCCCTTCATAATAGACTTCTGATTTACCGCGCACAATATCAAATGGAGCATGTAATAAGAAAACCATAGGATTGTAATAGGAGAATTGAGACGTTAATTTTATTGCTCGATGTTGTTGTTTTTGCGTTACATTATTGCCAATAATAGTTCATCAAATGGCCTGAGACGTCAATCTTATTCATCCCTCCACAACAGACTTCTGATTTACCGCATATAATATTAATTTGGGGATCAAATAAGCAATTCAGAGAAGTATTTTACAGGGGAAAATTTATTCATATTAAATACTCGCATAATAGAGCGATACGTGGAACCAGAAACATATAGAAAGCAAGGCAAATGAAAATCAAGTCCTGGCGCAGCAATCTCGGTTGTCCTTGAAGGGAATGTTGCTCATAAAAACAAATAAAGGCCTGCCACTCGGGAACATTCAATGCAGAATATTCTATAACATTAAGTATGTAGTCCGTTACAGAGAATATGGCATACATAGCCTGCCGTTACACATTCTTCAATGGCCCCCGTATTTGTCATTTAAGAGGGGCTTGATCCTAGGACCTTGTTCCCTAGATGCAACTATATAGTGAGTTCAACAGTCATTGTAAGGACACGAACTTTTCGACAAACTTATGCTATATACTGTTCAAAGCTCAATAACATTTTATTTTCTTGCTTCTTAAGATCGTTATTACTGTCTTCGGAAGCTCTGCTCTCGGAACTAAGATCTCTGATGTCTTATCTCGATTCAACGCTAAGTCTTACATTTTTATTTAATTTATTTATCATTTTGGGATCAAATTGATTCGCTTGTCTATAAACCACGTATAAATTCAACTGTACCGTTTTATGGGTAAACAAGTGTAACAGTTGTTGGAGAATTCAGACGTCCAGTGACATACGCAAGATATTTTATAAGCAGTGTCATAATTTGAAAAAGTGGACTAATGAATAAATTACTATAATGATAAGCGATGTCATTTTTTATATTTATTCTTAATATTTTTATTTTTCTTGTATATATTTAGTAAAAAAAAAATCGAATGAATCAGAAACACCGTACGCAACAAGATGCATACGCCCCTGTAGACGTCAATTTTGCCGCACAATGCTGTTGTTTCGCGTTACGTTATTGCCAAAAAACAGTTCATTAAATGGCATAACAAAGAATTCACCCACCACCTATTTGACATTTTGTCACTCACCAAAAGTTAAAAAAAGAGATGATTATTTTTTTCTCCCCAAAACATACTTCAACTACACAAACAAACAAATAAAAACAAACAGACCCCACTTAGCTTTATATTGGAACAAAGAAACTGTCTTCAACCTTACCAAAAAGCCAAAAAGTAAATTAAAAAAAATAAAAATTAAATTATTTACTAGCTATACCCCTCAATCGCAGGCTGCCGGCCACATATAACCAACTAATCTTTAAACAAACACATCATGTCATTATTATCCGTCCGTCCCATTTTATACGAAGATATTTAGCAGGCGTTTGGACATAAAAATTATATGAAATTCTAGAAAAAGGTATAAAAAAATATTCATATGAAAATGGTATTTAATAATTAGAATTTTATTTGAATATAAATATAATTTGAAATTATTTTTGAATTTTTGTGAGTGATTTGAAGTTATAATTTTGAAAAATAATTTATTGTAGTTTTTCAAATTTTTAAAAATTCCGAAATTCAATTCTAAGTGACATTTTAAATTTATATGATCAAACAATGATTCCAAAAAAAGTGTTTTTTTTTTTGAAAAAAAAAATGAAACTTCTTTTTATGGCCAAACGGCCCTTAATTTGGCAAGAAATTTAAGAAGCTCAAGAAAACTTTTGATATGTAAACTAAATATATTTGAATTACCAAAATATCTTTTTAAAATAAGTGACATTGGGAGTTTTACATATATTTTTATTTTCTCTTTCTTATAAAAGAGAAAATTTTATATTAACTGAGTCTCGACAAGTTGAAGTACTAAATTTTTATTATCGCTAAGAGTTCTTTTTTTTTTTTTTTTTTTTGAGGGTGGAATACATTAAATATCAATTTTGTACCTATTAGAGGAAAATGCAATTTTGAATTTTGTAACACTTAATTGGCTTGAGAAGTTGCACCTATTAGAATAATTTTAATTTTGTACCACGTAAGTGTTGTTAGAAGCTGTAACCATTAGACTATTGTTCTAATTTCAATTCTGAAAGATCCATTATTTTGTTAAATCAAATTATTGGTTCTTAATGATTGACTTAATTATGTGATTATAAATTATTACAAAACCCTAATGACTAGTTATTAGAAGCATGCGCGACGCCAGAATGCCGGTTGTTGGTTCGGCTAAACTCAGTAGTTTTGGTTCAAACTCAATATTTATCTTCAGAACCTAATAACTTAGGGCCCGTTTGGATATAGAGATTTTTTCACTTTTTTCGAAATTTATTTTTATCTTTTTTTTTTGGAATCAGTGTTTGATCATGAAAATTTTAAATTTTACTTAAAATTGAATTTCAAAATTTTCAAAATTTTTACTTTAAATTACTCACAAAAATTCATAAATAACTTCACATTCTATTTATGTCCAAACACAACTCTAATGTTCAAATACCAATTTCAGTTGAATTTTTTTTATTACTTTTTTTTTTGAAACTTCACAATTCTTATGTCTAAACGCCCATTTAAAACTATTACGATTTCGCATTAATAAGCTTAAAATTCTAGCTTAGTCTTTGACTAGGAGAATAAAGAACAAGATTGTAATAAAGTCACATATTATTAAAGTTGGAAACATATAAATGAGTAATAAATAAAAAAGAAATAAGAGGAGAGAAAATGTAGCCAGCTAGCTACTACTCATAGAGAAAGTGAGAGAATCTAGTGGGCTTTGAGCTGTGATTTAGCTGTCCTTTTTTATATGCTTGTATTTCCTTGTTTCTCTTTCATATTCTTTTCAAATTCAACCTCTTCTCCTTTATCTATCCTCAAATCCCAAAAACCTCATTTCCATTTCTCTCACCTCACATTTTCTTCAAAACTCCATCTTTGAACTCCAAAAAAAAAAAAAAAAAAAAAATTCAAATCACAAAAACCCCATTTCCACTTTCCTTTCTTATACTTAGATCTCTACTTCTTTCATCTCACATTTGGTTTAAAGATTCAATCTTTGAACCAAAAAAAACAAACAAAAACCTCATTTCCACTTTCCTTTTTTGTACTCAGATCTCCACTTCTTTCATCTCACATTTGCTTAAAGATTCAATCTTTGAGCCAAAAAACCAAACAAATATCTCAAATCTCAAAAACCCCATTTCCAAATTCCTTTGTTATACACAAATTTCCACTTTTTTCATCCCAAATTTGCTTAAAGATTCAATCTTTGAACAAAAAAACAAAGATTCTTGATTTTCAGATGACTTATGTGAGATGAAGGAAAAAACACAAACACCCATTTCTTCTTTATATTTTCTCCTCTTTTTTTACTTTTCTTTATTAAGTTTAGCCTTTTCGCAGCACACAAATGCTGAGTTCAAAGTCTCAGAAAATGGCCCTTTAACTGAATTTGAAGCTCAATACATCAAACACAGGCAACTTTTGTACTACAGAGATGAATTTGGTGACAGAGGTGAAAAGGTCACAATTGACCCTTCATTTGTTTTTGAAAACAACAGAATCAAGAATGCATATATTGCATTACAAGCATGGAAACAAGCCATAATTTCAGATCCTTTCAATCTTACTGCAAATTGGGTGGGTCCCAATGTGTGCAACTACACCGGAATCTTCTGTGCTCCCGCACTTGACAACCCCAAAATCCGTACAGTCGCCGGCATTGACCTTAACCACGGCGACATTGCAGGTAGGTCGTCGAAAAATTATACCGTCTATATAGATCTAATAGAGCTTGTTATACAAATAGCAGGCTAGATGCAATATTTACTTTTTGTAGGCTGTATACATATATTATACACATAGTTATACATATATTATACTTAAATTATATAATATTATACATACGCCGGCTATTTTAGCTTAAAAATCAGGTGGGCGACTATTACACAAATAGCCGGCTAAATTCAATATTTACTTTTTGTAGTCAGTATACATATATAATACATAGCTATGCATATATTATACTTGAATTATATAATATTATACATCCGCGAGCTATTTTTAGTTTTAGTTGTGTGGCTATTACACAAATAGCCGGCTAGATTCAATGTTTACTTTTTATAGCCGGTATACGGATATTATACACAATTATACATATATTATACATTAAATATGTATATTCAGCCGGCTATCTTTAGTTTTAGAGATTATGCATATGTATTAGATGTTGTACATTCTTAACGAAATTTCTGACTTCATTGTTACAGGGTACCTACCAGAAGAACTTGGCCTTCTAGTCGATCTTGGAATTTTCCATATTAATTCCAACCGTTTTTGTGGTACAATACCAAAAAAATTCAAGAATTTGAAGATATTATTTGAGTTGGATTTGAGCAACAACAGATTTGCTGGGAAATTTCCTTATGTGGTACTGAGTTTACCTAAGTTAATATTCTTGGATATAAGGTTCAATGAGTTTGAAGGTAATGTACCTTCACAACTTTTTGACAAGCCCTTGGACGCCATTTTCATCAACCACAACAGATTCATGTTCGAATTACCCGATAATTTTGGTAATTCGCCGGTTTCTGTTATAGTACTCGCGAACAACAGGTTCCATGGTTGTCTCCCCGCTAGTATTGGTAACATGAGTAATCTGAATGAAGTTATTATGATGAACAACGGGTTACGTTCTTGTTTGCCTACAGAAATTGGAATGTTGAAGAATTTGACGGTGTTTGATGTTAGTTTTAATCAATTTTTGGGTCCATTGCCGGAGAAATTTGGCGAATTGGTTAATTTGGAGCAGTTGAATGTGGCACATAATATGCTATCGGGGTCTATTCCGAAGAGTATTTGTCAACTGCCTAAGCTTGAGAATTTTACTTATTCTTATAACTTCTTTACTGGTGAACCACCGGTTTGTTTGGGGTTGCCGGAGTTTGATGATCAAAGGAATTGTTTGCCAAACCGGCCTGTTCAACGGTCCCCGGCTCAATGCAAGGCTTTTTCATCAAAGAGGATTCATTGTGGTGCTTTCAAGTGTCATAAGTTTATTCCGGCTTTGCCACCTCCTCCGCCTCTTTCACCACCTTTGCCTGCCCCTCCACCGCCTGTTGTGGTACCTATATCTCCTCCACCGCCAGTGTTGTCTCCGCCTCCACCGGTTTATTCACCTCCTCCACCGGTTTACTCGCCACCACCACCTCCACCACCAGTATATTCACCTCCTCCACCGGTTTATTCGCCACCACCTCCACCACCACCGGTTTATTCACCTCCTCCACCGGTTTATTCGCCACCACCGCCACCACCTCCACCACCACCGGTTTATTCACCTCCTCCACCAATTTATTCACCACCACCACCACCACCACCGGTTTATTCACCTCCTCCACCGGTTTTCTCACCCCCGCCACCATCACCTCCTCCGCCAGTTATGTCACCACCACCACCAACTCCACTACCAATGCCACCTTATTGTATACGCTCACCTCCACCTCCACCACCAAATTCTCCACCTCCTCCGCCGCCACTTACTTACTCGCCTCCACCCCCTCCCCCTTCGACCTACTATTATAATTCACCACCACCTCCTCCACCAAACTCACCACCACCTCCCCCACCAAACTCACCACCACCACCAGTTTACATATACTCATCACCACCGCCCCCACCAGTATACTCTTCACCCCCGCCCCCTCATTCACCTCCTCCTCCATCCCCGGTTCCTTGTATAGAACCCCCACCCCCACCTCCTCCTTGTATAGAACCACCTCCACCACCAGCTTCTCCATCACCTCCGCCACCAGTTTATTACTATAACTCTCCGCCCCCACCATCGCCTTCACCATCACCATCACCTCCGCCACCAGTTTATTACTATAATTCTCCACCCCCACCATCGCCATCACCTCCACCTCCCGTTTATTATAATTCTCCGCCCCCACCATCACCATCACCTCCACCACCAGCACTGCCCCCACCATCGCCTTCACCACCAGTTTATTATTATAATTCACCACCCCCGCCATCTCCATCACCACCGCCACCTACTCCAGTATATGAAGGGCCATTACCACCAGTTATAGGAGTTTCATATGCTTCTCCTCCTCCACCCCCCTTCTATTGATTCTTTAAGAAAATTTCTCTCTAACTCATCCTCAAAACACAAAATTATACCTACAGTAGATTGAAGTTGTGGAGAATAAATTTGGCAAAGAAATGATTGCAGCTTTGCAGGGAAATTGTATTGTATAGAGATGATCATAATCTGGACTAGAAAAGCCAGTTTACAGTGCTTGTTGTAACTGGTTTCCTCCTTTTTTTTGGTGAGTTTTATTGTTATTATTCAGCTTCTTTATTTTTCTTTTAACCTTTTTAATGAATCATACTTTGGTTTCTTTGTCTTTATTTTGGTCTTCCATAATAATAATAGGAGTAATAGTATAGTGATGAGCATTTTTTATTTGTATTGATTCTCAGAATTCAGATCATATTTTTCTATTTCTTATGGATGTTTCTTCTTTTATGTTTCTTTCTCCTTTTGTTATTGTAGCATCTTCTTGATCTTGAATTATCCTAATTGCATTTATTTCAATTTAAGGTTTTGGTCTTTTGGGTAGTTGGTCTATATCAATGCTGAAGGTGGAAATTTATGTGCTTTGATCATTGAATATCAATTTCTGCCACCTTTGGTTGTTAATTGTTGGACTTGGTTGTGGTCCTCCAAACTTAAGTGATTTCTTCTCGTTTGTCTAAACTTTGGTAGGTAAAGTTACTCGGTATTTATGTTAGTGTGAAGTAGTCCGGTGTCGGAAGCAGAATTTTCACTAGTGGGATTCAAAAAAAAAAAAAATATGAAGCTAAGAGGATTCAACGTCTTAAGATATATACATGGAATTTTTTTATTATATACACAGTATAATTTTTGCCGACTAGGGTTTGGCTGAACCCCTCTTGCCCACCTAGCTCCATCCTTGGAGGTAGTGGGTATCCGGTTTAATAATTGAGATGCGCACATATTGACCCGAATAGTGCCGCAAGATAGCAAGTACTATGGAATAGTTGAGGTGCGCACAAATTGACCTGATATCCGTGTTATTTAGAAAATGACAAGTTTGACATCTCATTGTTGAGGGGTCAAGGTTCTTGCGCGCTTATTAGCTGGAAGTGAGGTCATTTGATTCAAGCAATTTGTCTGCTATACTTTACAGCTGTTGAAAACGTGTGTGATGTCAAGAGTTGGACCTTTAGTTCCACTAAGAACAACAAATTTATTTTCCATGTTAGTAATTTCACAATTATCTTAATTATATTTTAAGGGCTAGTTTGGTATACGAGATAAGGTGAGATTAAGTACGTACGTAAATTTATAGTACTATATTTGATTACAATAACAACAGTAATAAATCCAGTGAAATCTTACAAATAGGGTTTGAGGAGGATAATATATATGCAGACTTTAACCCTATCTTTTGAGGATAAAGAGTCTTATACTATGTTTGGTTGACATGCGATAAATTTATACTGTTAACCAAACACAATATAAATATAATCTCACACTTAATCTTGGATATCTCACCTTATCCCGTTAAACTTGAGGTATTTTATACCAACTCCCAGGAGAGATAAATTAGTCAGGAAATTATAATGCTGGGACTATAATTTCGAGATAATTTAGTCCCCGTACCAAACGACCCCTAAGCGATCAGAGAGTGCAAAAACTCATTTATAGAACTCTATATCTATATTTATGTCTATAATCACACTCATTCTTACAAAACTAACTTAGGGGTCGTTTGGTTGAGAACCAAGTTATCACATGATTAATTATCCCGAAATTAGTTATTCCGAGATTAGTTATCCACCCTCCCAAAGGGATAAAAACACTACAAATATAAGATAAATTCATTTTAAATTTAATTCCAAAACTAATTATTCCTTATCCCTCGTATCAAACGAGCCCTTAAAAAATTGATCTAAGTCCATTTTGGGTGCAGTTAGAAAAAAATGACCAAATCAAGTCTTCCTTTGATGGAGGGGGAGTGGATAAATTAAGTCCTAAATTGGATATTTCTGTCCTTTAATTAAGGAAAAGTGAGAGATTCCATAATTCACTTAATTGAGATTTGGAGCATGTGAATTGAGTCCACATTATGACATTATCACCTGAGATTATAATTCAAATTTCAAACCCCATTTTGTTTGTTTCAACATTTCACACTTTTTCATTGGTATTTGTAACCTTTGAAAATATTACTATTTTTTAATCTCACATTCACATAGTGGGATTACAAATTAAAGTGGGGTTGTCAGAATTTCAAGATTCTTGTCATCCCTCCTTTTGTGTCACCCCTTATATATATACGTGATTTCTTTTTCTTTCAACACACTTTATTGTTAGAATTAAAGTGCCTCGATTAATTCGAATTTGCAAAGTTGACTATGAAGGTTTTAGAATTTTTTATCAAAAAAAATTCATGTTCAAGACTTGAACTCGAAATATTTAGTTAAAAAAAAACTTTGTTATTCCATCATACTCTTCGAATTCTTGTGCATGTTTCAGGGGCAGACTTATAGTCCAAATGGTGCCGTCAACTCATTGTCTCTTGGCCAAATTAGGTATTTTATGTACGTACAAAATTGGTCTAATATATTCTGTTGGCACATATGCTCCAAAAAGACTGAATGGTGCACTTGGTTGAATATTGAGTTATTAACCTAAAGGAACAGAGATCGATTTCAACTTAATATTTTCCTTTTCTCCTTTTTTTAGTGGTACACTATGTTTTAGAAATCCAAGATCTGCCTTTGGTGTATCTATACTTAACTACAAAAAGATAGTGAATATTATGCACGGGACTGTTTAAGACTACAAGTTAAATTTTTTTTTTGTTTTTGTTAAACTTCGTAACTAATCAAACATCGCCCGATCGCCGTATAAATTCTTATTTATGCTCAATGATAATGTATGTAGAAAATGGGGAGCGCCTCTTCCTTTTAGCCGTTGATATAAGTTGGTTTTTTTCTTGACATTACTTTAAATAAAGACCCTACCAAATTCTGTGCTTTCATTTATTAGTGTCTTATTCCTACATCACACGTGAATTTACCTAACAATTGCCCCTTTTTTTGGGTCGCCTGTAGTTTATTTAAGTGCCAAATTTATGCGGTGAGTGATATTGCAACTACTGGTTTTTTTTTTTTTTTTTTTTTTTTTTTTTTTTTTTTGTGAAAAAAGATTCCCGGGGAAACATGCGGTCACTATCCTTCAGCTGCGTGCTGGATAACTTGTTCATTGCGCAATAATTTACAAACCACACATGAGATGTAAACCGCACTAGGTAAACTCGGTGCGACGGGCTCTGGTTGAGGAGGCTGGTATACCTACTGTTCTCGATTAAATTGTCTTTTTCAATCATCGACTATTTTCGATTTGAGCTATATATTTATAAGTATTTATAGTAAGTTCAAGTATATTGTTTCAAGAATATAGTTGATTTTACATCAATTGACTTATAATTTTAAGACCCTCGTGACTTATTACTATAGTTTATTTCTCTTCATAAATGGTAGATCTGAAACTATAATTTTAACAATACAATGGATTATAAGGTTGAACTAGTTAAGTTTAATTGTAATTTGGAGAAAATTAGTTTACTTGATTTTAAATCAAATTAATAGATGCATGACGTACGAATAAATCTTGGTTATTTAACTATAGTTGATAATATACATTCTCACATGATGCAATTACTTAAACATGATAAAATATTATTATTTGGTGTAAATGCCGAATACGAGTACAATCAAACTTCTTTATAACAGTTTTGTTTGTTTTAAATTTTTTGGCTGCTATAGTGAAGTGCTATTATAGAAGACATATATTATAATATAACATAAAAAATCGATCCCGGAAAAAAATTTAAACTTTTATAATGAATAACTGTTATATACGAATATTGTTATAGAGATGTCAGCGATTTGTATTCTCTTTTTATGTAAACACCCTTTTCACCAACTGCTCTCTTTCACATAAATTTTTATATTCGTTATCTTCCTCAACATCATAGGGAATTTTCTCTTTGTTTATATTCTATAAATACCAAAAAAAAAAGGGTCAATTTTCTTATAGTTGGCTGGCATTTGAGTCCTTTTCAAAGCACAAAAGAAAAAAAACATATACTACCATTTTATATTAGTTTGAAAACAATTTCCATCAACTTGCTTTAAATTTTCTCTTGTCTTTAATTCAAATTCAATTCCAATTCCAATTCCAATTCTTATTCCAATTCCAAGCAAGTGATAAAGAAAAGCAAGATTTTGGGAAATTCTAAGATTGAAGGGATAACAGAGAATAGCAGATTGTATTGTATTATTAAATTCGTTATTATGTAACAACCGATTTGATTTGGTCACAACCTTATATATTTTTTCTCATTTTATCCTTAATTATTACTTTTAATAATTATATTTTACCCTTTGTCCTACCCTTTTTATAATAACTCTACCTCGTGTCATATTTTATCCTTACAATATTATAAGATTATTCTTTAAATTTTGTGGTGTTTGACATTATGAAATGACGAATAACAAAACAATTTTATCCAAACATTATTATTATTATTGAAATAATACAGTACAATATTATGTAATACATTAATAAGGGGCAAGAATAATGTCCTTGTAGCTATCATTTTCTACACTCTTAACAAATCATAATATAGCAAAGCATAAAACCTACCAATTAATTAATGGAAGTGATGTAATTGGAAATGGGGTCCAAACATTATACTCACATGGCTTTGTTTGTTAGAGAATTTTCACATCACATCTACTCTTTCTTGGTATTTTATTTGAGTGGTTGTAAATTAGTGAGTTGGTTGACTAAGTGTACCTTTTTACATTTTAAAATCTTGGAAATTATTAGTCATTTGTTTAAAGCCTCAAATGACAGGCTGTGAGTAGGTCAAGCATATTAATGATGTAGTATGTCATAAATTTCATACCCCATTGTACTAATTCCCCTATTCAATTAATTTCGTAGGCAAATACATAGTTTAGACCAAAGTTGCAGGATTCGGCCAAACTTGTAACTAACATACTCTGTGCGATAACAATAAAATGATTAGCTATATACAAAGGCGGACCTACGCTATACTGAGATGGATCACCGGCACCCGTAAAGTTCGGCAAAAATTCATGTATACATGTACATGTCTTTAGAATATAGTGATATGTTAGAAGTGAGCATCATATATGCAAAATAGATTTTGATTGAATGTAAAAGTGCACCCCGGCCTTCAAATTCTGAGTCTTCCTCTTGCTATTCATGGTCGATTAAACTATCCAAATGATCAAAATTAACCTTCTTCCAAAACCTACTTTATATCTTTCATCATTTAACTAAGGTTATTTTTTTTAAACTAGAAACAAGAGTTTATCCAATTTAACATATACTGTATATCTCATTGTTAATGCTATGAGATATACAGTATACATTTGTTCTAGAGTTAAGTGTAAACATTTCTCTTTTTGGTAATTAGATGATTTTTTATGAGACAAACCAGTACAATGCACAATAAAAGTGATATATAAGTGTAAAATAAATTTTCTCTGGGACCAATAAACCCTAATGATAATGTTAAATAATGTTACTCCAATCTTTTATTTTAAAATATTGTAGATCCCTATGTTTAGAATCGTAATCTCAGCCTGATAGACCGGGGAACAAAGTATGGAACAAGAATATTAAAAAGAGAGTAGTTATGTTATGGTCCAGAGGAGGATGTAGCGTTGTGATATCGAGTTCATCTAAACTCAGTATTTTTAATGCGATATATAAATTTATTTATCAAATCCACTAAAATTATAATAATAATAATAATAGATTAAAAAAATAACAATAATAGATTTGAACTTATAATTTAAAAATCTAATGCGTTTGATGCTAAAAAAACTTACTCGTCGATCTTAAATTCTGAATCCACGTCGAAGTATGGAATGAGAACAAAAGAATGTAAAAACAAATATACTGTAAGATGCCACTTGGAGGAAGATTGCTTTGAGGCAAAGCTATGTGAGAATAAATTAAAAGTATAGTTTGTTTAGTGATTCTGTTCGTATACTGAATCATTGATACGTTAAGATCATACTATATTCTTGATCCTCATCATTATTTTACTTTAATAATAACAAAATTTTATGTGAGTAGAAGTAATAATGTCTACACATCATAACTTCTCCCAATTATATTTCTTTACTATTTTACTAATACTATATCATTTTTTACTGACAAAGTAATTTCATTAAACGAGTCTCATTCGAATTAAACAAGCGTAGTCCGATGCACGAAACATCTTCAGAAAAGGGCCGTACCCCAAGAGGATGTAATGTAAGCAGCCTACCCTAATACAAACATCAGTGACTGATTCTTCCGCAACTCGAACCCGTGACCTATACGGCTATACCGTTGCTCCAAATGTAGCAAAACAAGTTGGTAATTAATACGAGAACTACGAGTAGTAATCATTTTCAATGAAAACGAGTAAAATTGCTTGTTTTAAGAAAAAATTAACTTCCCATGAAACAACAACAACAAAATATGCCAATAATTCTGCATATTTGTTTGCCTCCCTTTCAAAATACTTGCACCAGATAAAAACTGCACAGGTTTATTAATCATAAAAAGAAATACAGATATTACATTACATCCTATTGTACTAGTAATACAAATTGTACAATACAGCTGGAATTCTTTAATGATAAACCACTGACCACAACAAGAGTAGCAAAAGCCAAAAATAAAACAATATAACTTCAGGGCAGCAAGGGAGGGATGAAAAAATAAGATTAAAAAATGATTTAAAAAATAAAAAAGAGAATAATAAACATTTTAGGTGCAGCAGGCAAAATGCACGCAACAGGCATCACTCTCATATGGAGGTTCCTTCTCATCGATAATTCTTTAGCTCCTTCCCGCATCTAACTACAGTTGGCAGCATCACATATAAAGAGGATCAGATGCTCGATGATGAATGTCATAACCCTTGGAAATATCTCGATCACAAAATTTTCTACACCAAGCAGCTAATAACATATCTCCACTCGATGCTACCAGAGGAAGCAACAACACAATGCACATATGAGATGAATTTTCTTTAACCAAATGGGTTTCCTCCAGAAGAAGAGAAGGTGTTCTGGGAAGCGGGTGCAGAATATAATCCACCTGGCTGCTGATTCGAGTTTAGAGCTCCAAAAGCATCGAAGCCAAAGCTTGCTACTCCTGGTGGTCTGCATTTTGAAATGCAGTCATTGAAACTTACCTCTCAAATGTAGATTCTACAAACTATGAAAGTAATTCATCTTGAGACGGATGAGTTGCAAGATTAAGCAATTAAAAAAGGCAACCTTTGCTCAAAAGGCTACAAAATGATTTCCATATATACAGCTGAATGGAAACAAGTTATACACAATAAAAAGCTAAAGAGTTTCAGTCAAAACTTCAATAATCAATCTCATGTCAGTCTAGCACTTCATTTGCTACTGATGTTCTACGATACAAGACCAAAAATGGAACAGCAATCACAAAAGTACCTTTGTGGCATGCTACCAGCTACTTGATGCCCCATGTATGAGCCTAAAAATTAAGACATAATCAGCATCCAAATAATTGACCAGAGATCTAATACAGGGGGACAAAGAATACTACCTGGTGGAACTGCTGATGCATAAGATGGTGACTGCTGAGGCATTGCCGGAGGATAAGAAGTTGGGGCACCGAGGCTGGATGTATGCAGCAATCCAGTCGGAGGGACCATGTTCGGTAATGCACCTTGTAATGATGCCATTGACGGAAACTGAACAATGAAAATCTCAATGAGATCAAGAGTGGAAAAAGTCAATTAACAAATACTCACACTAAATGAATGCTTTTTTCTCAGCCGAGCACAGGTTTTGGGGCTGTTTCAGCAAGTAGTATTCCCCAACTAATCAAATTAAACATGAATAAATAAGAAGCAGAAAAAAGTAATTTTGAGATTTACACCTAAAAGATAAGCTCAAATGCATGTGATAAATAATTTTCACTCCGGTCCACAATAAGTGACCAATTTGTTTTTTTATGTTGGTCCTGAATAAGTGTCCATTTATATAATCAAGACAAAATTCAATTTGTTTTTACAAAATTACCCTTATGTACATATCCCTAAAAAAGTTTTCTTACTCCTCACATTAAATATTTAATTAAGGGTAGTTTAGTCATACTAGGTATTTTTGTATAGAATTTAGTATTTTGCCAAAAGGAAATTGGTCACTTATTGTGGACCGGAGGGAGTAATTAACTAATATCACTGTAAGTTATCAATATCCCACTCTAAATCTGATTTTAATGCACAAATCCTTTTTCTTGCGAGTCAACACAAGTGGAAATCTCTTCAACATCAATCAACTTATCACAATAGTCACATAGGGCATAAAATCAAACACATCTGAATGCCTTGTGCATCATAAATGGTGATGAGCAAATAAATCAGTCTAAAGTAATAGTATTATTTTCATATACCGTTGAGGCTTGTGAAGATGGCTCGTTTATGACATCAAAAGGATTTGCTGATTTTGATGGCTGTGGCAAAGCATTTGTAGCCTGAAAAAAACTAGCGTATGAGCAAGATGCCACATAGTTAAGCATGCTGTGACCACAAACTAACAGAGTCGGGCATAAAATCTTCGGAAAAGGGCCAAATATAGCCTTATACTATCAGAAATAGTTTAAAATTACCCTCCGTTTGAGTATTCATTCACAGCTAGCCCTACCGTTATACTTTGGCCACTAATATACCCCTAATTTAAATGGAGAGACAAGTGGCATCACAATAAGTGAAGACCCATCCCCAATCTTAATATCCAATTTCAATTAAAAACCGACCCTAATTTTTTTTTTTTTTACCTGACCCGGCCCAAGAATTTGTACCAGATCTTTATTAAAGGGCTAACAGAGTAGGAAAGATGACTATTGGAGTTCCATAAGGTGACGAAACACTTCTGAAGATTTCCTTTTCTTTTTTCAAATTAAAAAGCTTTTTAAACAAGTTTTCTACAACTATTCAAAAAGAAAGAAATAAGTCTGGTCAGCTGCTACTGGAATACCCGCCGGTTTGCAGCCCAACATTTTCGAGCGCGTTTGCACTGGAACAACCACCGGAAAGCTTTCAAGATGCGGCGGAAGAAGGAATTAGAAGAAAGCGGCTGTTGAAAACCTGATGCTTTGTCTTTTACTCTTAGACCTACAAATTGTAATTTTATAAAAAAAGACATACTACTTTGATTCACATCTACCAAACATGGAGTAGTGTTCTTGGAATTGGGGAAATTGGCGTGGGCGGAAGCATTGGCAGGATGGAGGAAGTATTGGTGGTGGTGGTGGTGGTGGTGGCGGCAGTGAAGTATGTATTTCTGGAATGAGGAATTGGGCCACACGGAGTTTGGACGTCTTTTCTGATTTTAATGATGGTGAAATAAGTGTTTATATTTAAGTGGGGCATTCGGTTGGATAATAGGTAAAAAATTAGGGGTAGGTTTTTTAATTGGAATTGGGTATTAAAATTGGGGATTGTTTTTGTTATTGTGATGCCATTAGTCCCTCTGTTTAAAGTAAGGGTATATTAGTGCCGAAGTATAAAGGTAGGGCTACCTTGGACGGATACTCAAACGAAGGATAATTTTAAACTATTTCTGAAAGTACGAGGGTATATCTGACCCTTTTCCGTAAAATTTTTGGGTTAGCACACATACCACAGACATGTTGTATTGCATTGCGAATCCATAGCCGTGCTGTGGACCAGTATGCCAGCCCGGAAAAGCACCAGGAATTGAAGAATAATTTACAGCAAACAAATCCTGCACAGAAATGTACATACCTTTAAACTAGAGAAAATTTTAAAATGTATCAATCTGCTGGAGCAAAAATATGAAGAACCATTACAAATTTTTTAGCCTAGACAAATGTTCATAATTTAGGCTAGAAAGATCTTCAAAATATATCAGGTGTACTAGAGTCAAAACATGAAAAAACCAATAGAAAAGAACTTACCTCAGGCAGTTGTTTCCTTCCACTAGATTTGATTTCAACAGGAGCAGCTTGAGATGCAACTGCAGAAGTGGCTCCCAGAAGGGCAGGGTTTACACCTTGAGACACTTGTGCAGTTCCCGTACTAGGAAACCCAGGTGTAGTTGCGGTAACTGAAGGATTCCACTGCTGAAAGATGATGATAATTAACAATAATCAGTAATGAAACACAATGATACAACTAGTTGACCTCAAGGACAAGGGAAGAACTAGGAAGCTACCTGATTTCCAGAAGGTCCACCAGCAGCTGGAGTAGAAAGCTGCGATATGGGTTGTGGGCCAGTCACAGGAAACAAGGAACTCTGCTGAGGTAGCATATTAGACCATTGTCCTCCGGGATTATTTGCGAAGGCATTACCACCACTAACCGGCGGTAGTGATGTCGGTCCAGTGGGTGCAGCTGAAGCACCACCAAATGGAAATGCTACTGAGTTTTCCACAGTTGCAGCTCCTGGAACAAAACTACTGAAGGGAGTGACTGGAGGTGCACTACCACCTGTAAATGCTGCAGAGTGACCAGTTACAGTTGCTGGAGCAGCCAACTCTGAGAATATAGATTCCAGTAGATTGGTGTTTGAAGGAGCTGGAGATGCTTTCACCTCTGCTAATGAATCAAAATTCGCCCAGTTGTCAGCAGCAGATTTTGTCGGTTGTGCAACAGGTATGACTGTAGCAGATTGTTGTATTTGTGGGGCCGGTGCAGAAGCTGCAGGTTCAGGAACATCATCAAAATCGATTAATGAGGTTTCTGTCTTAAGTTCAACAGGGTTCCCGTTGGAGGACGTCAAGCTACTGGAAGATGCAGTCCTCTGCAAAATATATGTAAAATAAGTTTAGCATCTTATTTAATTGGTAAGCATTGGGAAAGGCGTAAAAGAAAGAGTATACTGGTGAAAATAATATGGTATATTTCACATATTTTGGATAAGGTGAACAATGGGAGTAGGGAGGCATTTCAGGTAAAGCCCATGCAATTTGGAAATGCTAAGACTTATGAGAAATCTAGATGTACACTCTACTCTTCCTATTTGCTAAAGTTTTGAGAACAATCAAGAAAGAGTCTTTTATCAAATATCAAAGCCGTCATTCTCCCAATATTTACTAAACTGCTAGAGGACAAATTGTCTCCAAAAGATGTGTGACTAAATACCACAACAAAGCATTGTACCATCATTCAAAAAAAAATCAGATACCAAAGGATATCTTATGGGAAAGCGTGTTACTAACTAATAAAACAAAGTTTAATAGCATCATCCAAAATAATCAAATACCACATGATGCCGTATAGCATATAATCCACACCTGGGTTAGCACAGAGCCACCAGCAGCAGACCTACCACCATTGGTTTTTGGAGGTTCAATAACTCGAAGGGGAGATACACTCTCTCCAAGAATCTCTCTAACAGGTCGAACAATTGGGGGACTGGATGAATCAAGGTCGCTCTGACGATCAGGTGACATGCTTTCAAACTTGGATCCTCCATCCGAAATTCTACCATCATCAGATCGCCTTCCATTCCCAAATCTATCCTCTCGTCGCCAGTCATTGATTACTTCAGCACGTGCAGGACTTCTTTGATCATATCCAGGACTTCTCCCACCACTACTCCCACCAGGACTAGGCCTGTTGCTGTATCGTCGCTCATATACTTCCTCATTTGGTGGGCTTCGAGACCCACTTTGGTAGGTATCAGTCTTCCTGTTTTCGCTTAAGTTCTCAGCTTCAGCCTGCAGATATTAAATATTTTATATGATGGAATGTGTTCAACCAGCAGATCTCGCAAGTTTAGAACACGGAGATCTACTAAGTGACGACATCACAGAAATTCTTCTCCTGTAAGGAGCACAATGAGCTATTATAAAATTCAAAATTGAGGATTGCAGGATAGGATAGGCACCATTTTTCCCCTTGGTGGCTTCTCAAAGCTCCTTTCACCAGTGTATCTTCTATCCACATAGACATGCTTAATAAAATCACGAAGCCTCTCTACATTACTGAACACAAAGACAATCAGAACTGTATTTTGGGTTAATAAGTATCATACACATATATTTATTAAGATCACAAACCTGCCGTCTGGGAGAGAATTACGCTGCGTGTCCCAGTCCTTCAAATATATTACCTTTGCACTCTGTGAAAATGCAACCCCCACCCCCAAAAAAAAGGCCACAAAAGCAGAAAAAAACAAATGAGTTGGCAACCAGTGAGGAAAGAAATATGAACATGACATTAGAAGTAGGTGTGGCTCTTATAGCAAAAGGAGCAGGCGTACCGCATTTCCTCCTCCTTGGAGGGCACTAACTTCTTGTGAGGTAAATTTAGCCATGGATACTGACTTCACTCTATGAGTGAACTCCCGACTGCCAGTATTTTCAAATGTAGAACAGGAAGCAATAAATTAGAGATTAAAAGGAGTTTCTAGTGCTTGGAAACATTTTAAGCACCACAGAGGAATGATGGTTGCATCATTTTATGAAAGACAGCACTTACTGTATACCGCTGCATGTTGTGCAAACAAATGTCCAGAAATTAGTGCAAACATATTGCGGGCCCTGTCAGACAGTAAAATATGAGATATATTACTATACATCTACCTACAAAAAATATGAGATCTATTACCATACATCTGTGTTACTTTCACTAGATAAGAAGAGTAGAAGACTGTTGATAATATTTTAAAGAACCTGCCATGCAACTAAATTTAGACATATAAGGCTACCAACTAAAGTGAAGAAGCATCCGAGAAATAACACAGGGGCCTGTACTGTATATACAATAATAAGTCATTTAGTTTGCAGCCAGTTATACAAGAATTATAATAGAAAGATTGTAATGTTGTGAATAATAATCAATGGATTACTAGATTTACTGTATTTGTTATCGGATGATAAGTTCATCCAAATAAAATCTGGATACACGGTGCATCACTTAAAACATTCCTTTGGTTTAAAGTGGATAATGATTTGTTTCCAATAAGACATTAGATCACTTAATCTAATATTAGTTTTATTAACATACACGACAAAAAGTAATTTCGTTTAATACAAATAAAATTAAATTGAATTACATTAATTATAATTACAACTACTACTACAACGTCTCTAAGTAGTCGATTTTTTTTTCAATTTCATTTTTTTGGATTCCGCAAGAATTTGTCGATAATTCCGATTAAATCTTCTTGTAAGCAGATTTTCTATAGGATAAATTATAGGAATAAATGTGTGGCTCATTTAAGAATCTAAGTCGAATTGCTTTATAAAAAGAAGATACCAATGAACTTCTATGAAACGGTTTCACGGGATTCAGCCAATTATCTTGATCGTTGAATATCATTGATAGGAATCGGGATCTTTAGCTTCTTGAATTTGATTCTTTATTTTTTTAAATGATGTAGAAAAAAGCTTTGCTTTTGGTTTTTATTGATGTCTTTATAGTTCCAAACAAGTTGGGGTCGGCAATGTGATTCCTCATTACTCCATTAGCTCAACCCATGTCATTATCATTACTAAAAAAAATTAATTATATCAAGGACAAAATATTTCTAAGAGGAAAACTAAAAAGAGGTATACCAAAATGTGGTATAATAAACAGATTTTGGAATCCTCTTTTGAACATGAAACTTTTGTTATAAGAACTTTCTTTAATTTTAATTTTAATTTCAATTAAGTTTAAGCGATCATTAACTAAACAAGTTATGGTTATAGGGAATTTTTGACATTTACGTGATCTAATACATGTATTGCTAATAGGTGTTGTAATTCCACAATGAATTCAGCTTAAAATAATATTCCAATTGCAAAATAACAAATGCAAGGAATTTTTTTTGATAGGCAATGTTAATGCAATCGTTATCAATATATTGCAATTAAAACTAGAACTAAATCTGCATAGTAATGTAGAATTTACTGCCGGAATTATTTCCAATAATACATCTAATCAAACGAAATGAAAGGAGAAGTGGCCGTCTTAATCTACAATGACACCGGATATCTAGTTAAATGGGTTTCTTCTTTCTATATATGTGTGTCATACACAGACAAGTAAATTCAAACCAAAATCAAAGTGAGAATTCTCTCATCGTCAGTAAGGCATATGCAATACTTTCCAAATGCAAATCATGTCTAATTATCAGCCTAAAGATCTATCATAACCAGTAGAAAAAACCTTGTCTTCGTTACAGATAAAGGCCAATGAATTGATGAAGAGGAATATGGAGTAAAAGCATATTAAAAACTTTCCAAATGCAAATCATATCTAATTATCAGCCTAAAGATCTATCATACATGTAGAGATTACCTACTTTAAGGACATTTGTTATTTAAACAAATTTATTCTCGACATTGCTAATCACCTAGAAACTCATTGGTTAATTCATATATTCCACATACAATAATACAAATTCCATATAACTAAATACAAGTATTACATAATACAGCCAACCAAACACTACATTAGTTTGCAAGATTAGTTTTCCTATCTGTCTAACCAAGCATTTTATCATCTTATGTGGGATTTCACATTGCAATAATTTTTTTTGTCCTTCCAATGTAACGACCCCCAAGAGTCAAGAAAAGTATCTTGTCAAAAACACGCAAGGATAAGAAGAGAGTAAGGCAAAGGAGTTTCTAAAGTTAAGATAATGCAGTGAAAGCACCATAGAGATGTATGTGTTCTGTTAAGCGGGCAATATAGGGACACAGAATATTGTGATCTTACTATATGGTTGAAGCTACTCTTCTTTAAGATAAGAAATATCTCTTCCATCCAGATTTTTTCCCTTGGATGCATTGCATTCCTCAAACTTCATAAAATATATCCCATAATAAGTTTTATCTCATTAATGCTTTCATCCAAATTTATACTTGACAAGGAAATTTCTAAGGAAAACAAATCTTGAAGTATAAATAGTAAACTCTTCCTCTTAATCCTTCCCACATAAAGAGCATCCACTTATTAACTGCACCTCTAGATTTCAGGAGGTTGATAACTTTCTCTTATATTAGTCATTGGAACCCATTAGATAGTTAATCGCTCCGGTTACCATTTGAAGATGTCAAACACCGTCAGTGCATATAATTTAAACTCATTCCTATAATCATTGCAAACTAATTCTGGATTGAGACGTAGTTAATTGATTGATTGAACATAACAAAATTCCTATGTCACTTTTTATGTGACAATTACTATTTGACTAGTCAAAAAAATTTAAATTTCTCTTATTACCATGATTTTTCCAAACATTTTTTGAAATTTAACTAGGGTGACTTACAAAATTCTTTATGCAACTTCCAAAAATGTGACTTTTATTTCCAAACACTTGAAGAATCTATATTCGAATTTACAAAAAAGTTAGGTACTTTAACCCTCCCGCGCACATAAAATGGGACAGAGCGTATATTAAATAGACCAGAACAGGACAGATATAGAGGATTCATATAACCGACCGTACTAATTTGAACTAAACGTGTAATTAATCAAACTTACCAAACTATTACAGTTCATACACCGTCGATTATCAGGAAGCTTAAGCAGATTCCGTATAGTCCTTTCATTCTTCTCATCCTCCTTTCGATTTGCCATATCAACAGTAATCAAAGCCCTAACTAACTGCCAAATAATCACACCAAATTTCAAAAATTCAAACTTACTGCCAAAACTCACACAAAAAATCATCAATTCCAGTAAAAAATGATCAATCGAATACATAATCATCACACAAAACTTACAAAATTCGAACTCACTGCCAAAAATCACGCAAAAAATCATCAAACTCAAGTAAAATGATCAAATAAATTCAAAAATTCAAAGTTATACATCATCAGATCTGGTAAAATTTACAGTCATAAAAGTTCACAACTGAAACTAAATTCAAACAGAAATTCGAATATACGCTTAAAAATACGCAAAAATACACATAGTTTTGATGAAAATTACGAATTTGAGTTACCTGATCGGTGGAGGAATTGGAGGAAACTAACAGCTTTCGTACAGCTCAGAATGCTTTTTTGTGCGAAAAATGTAGAGAGAGAAAGTTTAAGGGACGGAGGAAATATAGGGTGATTCGCGGATACAAGGGAGAAATTGTGAGGACTAGTCTAGTCTGCTGGAAAAAAACTGAACTATAGTATGATTTTGACCGGTTGTGGACTTGGAATGTTGTATGGGGACAGGTCATACAAGGCGGCTGTGAAATGATATAAATGCCCCTCCAAATTATGAACTAAGTTCCCGCAATGTTCGAGGTCCGAAAAAAAGACCAAACTACAAGGATGTATTATACGCAGCCTTACCCTGCAATTCTGTAAGAGACTGTTTCCACGGCTCGAACTCGTAACCTCCTAGTCACATGGCAGCAAACCCAGAGGCGTATCCAAAATTTCAAAAGCATGGGTACACTATGAGCAACAGAGACCCGAATTTCCGAGAGAGTGTGTTTGAGAGATATATTTTGGGTTTAGTAATTTTAAAGGTCAAAATGAAGACTACAAAAAGAGAAGAGAAAAAACGTGTAACCAATATAAAAGGGAAAAATGAAATAAAAAAGTGTATTTAATTAGAAAAAGCGGCAGAGCATGGGTATTTAACCCTATTTATTAGTTAAAATATGATTTAAAAGAAGAAAGAGTACGGAATCGAACCGCTGATTAAAAGGTAGAAGGTGCACCTCCTTTCAAATGCACTAAAGTATTCACTTGAGTTTGGGTTCACCCATGTTAATTTAAGTATTTGAGCTGAAATTTACTAGTGTTATACATGATTCAGGGGAGGAGGATGGGTTCTCGTGAATCCGTACCTTCTCATATGCATCCGCTCCTGTCAGCAACTTTACTAGTTACGACAAGGCTCTAAACTACTACGAAAGAGAAAAATACTCTTTCGTTTGTGTGATATAATTTGACTCAACACTAAGTTTAGAAAATACTTTAAAAAATTTAATTGACGATATTAAACGCGACATAATAGTCGTATGACCATAAAAGTTTTCCATTATAAAAAATATGAAAATAATGATAAACAAATTAAAATGGAGAGAGTAACCTTATGGTTATTTTTCCTCTTGTATCCGCTGTGATTATCTATCTATATTATATTAAAAGGAGAGTAGTATGCATTGTGGTTAAGCCAAGTGGCAAGCTAAAATGAAGCCACTTGACAATTTTAGGACAACATTAATAATTAGAAATTATATGTAGAAACATAATTAATGAAGTAGTTTAATGAACCTTATACATAATCTAAATAGATCTTAGACAAATCTAATTTATATATCTACATTTATATTTATAATTATATTTATATGTATATGTATATTTGCATTTATATTTATATTTATATTTATATATTGATCCACTTATAGATTTTCTTTTATATTAGCTTGAAATATAGAGGTAAAAAGTTAATTAAGAAACTATGATAGAAAAAAATAGTAAAGACAGAAAGCGTAAATTGAGATAGCATGTGACAATTATGCTTTTGACTGAATTAAAATATAAAATAAAACTAAAATTTACTTAAGATATTAAAAAATTATTGACTATAAAAATTTAAAAAGTTCAAGCAGCAAAATAGAATCTTACACAACATATATAAAATATATTATATTAAAAGAAGAGTAGTATGCATTGTGCAGTGGCAGGCTAAAATGAAGCCACTTGGCAATTTTAGGACAACATTAATAATTAAAAATTATATATAGAAACATAATTAATGGAAGTAGTTTAATGAATCTTATACATAATTGTGATGACCCGACCCGTCGTCTCTATATTTATATTTGTATATTGATCCAATCCACTCATAGATTTTCTTCTATATTAGCTAGAAATATAGATGTAAAAAGTTAATTAAGAAACTATGATAGAAAAAATAGTAAAGACAGAAAGCGTAAATTGAGATAGCATGTGACAATTATGCTTTTGACTGAATTAAAATATAAAATAAAACTAAAATTTACTTAAGATATTAAAAATTTATTGACTATAAAAAATTAAAAAAGTTCAAGCAGCAAAATAGAATCTTACACAACATATATAAATCTATATTATATTAAAAGAAGAGTAGTATGCATTGTGGTTAAGCCAAGTGGCAAGCTAAAATGAAGCCACTTGGCAATTTTAGGACAACATTAATAATTAGAAATTATATATAGAATAATTAATGGAAGTAGTTTAATGAATCTTATACATAATCTAAATAGATCTTAGACAAATTTAATTTATATATCTACATTTATATTTATAATTATATTTATATGTATATGTATATTTGCATTTATATTTATATTTATATTTATATATTGATCCACTCATAGATTTTCTTCTATATTAGCTAGAAATATAGAGGTAAAAAGTTAATTAAGAAACTATGATAGAAAAAAATAGTAAAGACAGAAAGCGTAAATTGAGATAGCATGTGACAATTATGCTTTTGACTGAATTAAAATATAAAATAAAACTAAAATTTACTTAAGATATTAAAAATTTATTGACTATAAAAATTAAAAAAGTTCAAGCAGCAAAATAGAATCTTACACAACATATATAAATCTATATTATATTAAAAGAAGAGTAGTATGCATTGTGCAGTGGCAGGCTAAAATGAAGCCACTTGGCAATTTTAGGACAACATTAATAATTAGAAATTATATATAGAAACATAAATAATGGAAGTAGTTTAATTAATCTTATTGTGACGACCCAAAGGGTCATTACCGGATTTCTCTCTTTTCCGTGCTTCCGAGGCCTTGAAAACCTCGCTTTTAGTTGCCTCGATTTGCGTGCGCAGTCCGGGCGCGAAGCCGGAAAGCTTTTATGTTGAAATATGTGAACTTTGTGAAAAATTTGAAGAATTTTGATATTAATATTGCTAAAGTTGACTTTGGTCAACATTTTTGGTAAACGGACCCGGACCCGTGATTAGGCGGTCCCGGAGGGTCCGTTGAAAAATATGGGACTTGGGCATATGCCCTGAGTCGAATTTCGAGGTCGAGAGCCCGAGAAATGAATTTTTCTGTGAAATTGTTTTTCTGAAATTATTAAGGAAAATGAAAATGAAAATTGATCAAAAGACTATGGTATCGGGCTCGTATTTTGGTTCCGACGCCCGGTACAAGTCTTAAATATGTGTTAAGCGCTTCCTGTAAAGTTTGGTCAAAATCGGATGTCATTTGACGTGTTTCGGACCTAAATATCTAAAATTTGAAGTTATGAAGTTTGAAATGAAAATGATGATCTCGAGGCTTGATTCAATGATTTTTGATGTTATTTTGGCGATTTGATCGCTCGAGCAAGTTCGTAGGATGTTATTGAGTTAGTGTGTGTGATTGGTTAGGAGCCCCGAGGGCTCAGGAGTGAATTGAAGGTGGTTCGGGGTGTTTTTACACTTGGGAAAGGATCAGATTCTGCTGCATTTTTACACAGGCATTTTGTTCTTCGCGAACGCGGCCTCAGGCTCGCGTTCGCAGTGCTTTGGTCTTCCCCTCTTACGTGTTCGCGTCCTACTTCATGCGATCGTGTAGTTCTAATTCCCCTCCTTCGCGTTCGCATCCTCACTATCGCGAACGCGTAGCTTTACCAGCTTCCTCAACGCGTTCGCGTGGCCCCTCACGCGTTCGCGTATAACAGTCCCTGGACCCCCCAACATTTTCTTCTACGCGTTCGCATTCTATTTCACGCGTTCGCGATGGAGTGTCCAGTTTACCCTTCGCGAACGCGGCCCCTTTCCCGCGAACGCGAAGGGCAATTTTGCCCAGCGAATTTTTAAGTTAAAAACAGAACAGTAGCTCGGGATTTTCATAAAAATACACGAACTCCTTTCTTCTCCAAGCACTTAGGCGTCCATTGAAGCTCCCTTTCATCAAAACTTCTTGGGTAAGCATTGTTCAACTTGTTTTCTTCAATTTCCTCTATTAATTACTAAATTCCTAGCCCTAAATCATGAAATCAAAGTAGAAATTAGGGGTTTTGGGTAGAGTTAGGGTTTTGAGAATTTTGGGTGATTCAACCTCAATTTGGGGTCGAATCTTAAAACAAATTATATATTTGAACTCGTGGGGTTATGGGTGATTGGGTTTTGGTCCGAGCCTCGTGTTTGGACCATGTGGGACCGGTGTCGAATTTTGGTATTTTTGGAAGAATGATAGGAATTTCATTTCTAGGCTATGGGATTATGTTTTTGAGCCCTTATTGATATTATTGAACTAATTATGCCTAGATATCATTGTTTCGGAGTTGGATTGTAGAGGAAAGGCGGTATTAGAGAGTTGATTGCTATTCTTGGACCGAGGTAAGTGTTTGTTCTAACTTTGGCTTGAGGGAATAGGATTAGGATGTTATTTGCTACTTGCTAAATGTGGAGTACGGTGTACAGGCATGGTGACGGTTGTCTATGCACCGGAGTCTAGCATGACCGTGAGTTTTAATTGCTTTTAATTCGAATGATGTGACACAACCTTCTTGTTTAATTGATAAATTTCATATAATGTGAACGGTTGAGGAAGAATTGTGATTGGTATATTTTGGAGCGTTGGCTCGAACAAGAATGTGATAGTTGAGAAAGAAGTGATTTAAAATAGGATGTGTTGTGATTATTCCCTTGCCGGGACGTGTAGACTATTATTATGTACTCTCCCTTGCTGGGATATTTGGGCTGTTAGTTGTACCCTTGCCGGGTTAAAGTGTTATGTTGTCGAATTCCCCTAATGGGACCTCCTTACAAAGCCCGACATTTTGAACTATGATATGGGATCGTGTGGCACGTCGACCACTTATATATTATGAAATGGGATCGTGTGGCACGCCGTCCACTTATATATCTATTATGAAACGGGATCGTGTGGCGCGCCGACCACTTATATATTATAAAATGGGATCGTGTGGCACGCCGTCCACTTATGAATTAAGAAATGGGATCGTGTGGCGCCGACCACTTATATATGAGCTATGGTATTGAGATAGTTTCGTTGTTATATCCGTTGATCTGTATTCGCTGTATTTTCCCCGAGCATGCCCCCTTCCCCTTTTTAGTTGATATTCTCTGTTGTTATTTCTGTTGCCTTTGTATATATATACCTGCACAGGTTATTTTCTTTTGGTAGGTC